ACAGATGGTCTTCCAATGTCAGCCGTGGATCCAGGAGGACTCCCAAGTTGCGGGCCTTCTCTGAGGGGGCCAAAATTTCGCCCCCTATAGTCAGCGATGGAGTCAGCTGACTATGCCGAGGCGCCGGCAGCCACAGCCACTCAGTCTTGGAAGGGTTGAGCCTGAGTCTGTTCCTCCCCATCCAGACCCGTACGGCCTCTGGGGGCAGTTCATTCCAGAGGGTGGGAGCTCCCACAGAGAAGGCCCTCCCCCTTGGGGTCGCCAGCCGGCACTGTCTGGCTGACGGCACCCTGAGGAGACCCACTCTGTGGGAGCGTACCGGTCGATGGGAGGTACTCTGCGGCAGGAGGCGGTCTCGAAGATATCCGGGTCCGATGCCATGGAGCGCTTGGTGTTCCCATGGTCTGAAGATATCCGGGTCCGATGCCATGGAGCGCGTGATGTTCCCATGGTCTGAAACAGTTTGAAAACCACTATTCTAGGATCTTTTTTGTAATAACTCACTCCTGGTACCCCACCAAGAGTTCTTAAAGTTGTAACTGATCACTCAAATCAAACTCAATGTAAAAGACTAGAAGATACTCCATGGGACACCAGTTTTTTAAAAAGGGAGATCTGGGAGATCAGACAAGTGAGCTTAACTTCTGTTCCAGACAAATTAGTACAATTAGTAATCAAAGAATGAATAACTATGCACAGAGAGGAAGAAGTCATGCTGAAGAAACATCTAGATCTTGCTTTACAAAGTTTCGTTTTTGTGGCTCATCAACATGGGTACAAGTGTCTAAACTTAAGTTTAAGTCTAAACTTATTGTGAGATAAGATATACTATCTTTTATGGATTGCTAGCTGGTTAAAAAGCAGAAAGCAATGGGTAGGAATAAGTGGACAATTTTGTTTGTGGAAAAAGTAACAAATTGAGTGCCTAAAATATAAGCTTTAAAATTGTTCATAAATTATCTTGACTTATAGACAAGCAGCAAATTGTGTCAGTTTGCACATGATACTATGCAGAGTGATAAAAGCCAAAAGTAATTGTAGGCAGCTTTATAAGCATCATTTTAAAATGCATGAAGTGGCAGATGGAAGTCAATTTATAAGTGAAAAATAATACACTTTGAGGCAAAACTTTTAATTTTATATAAACATTGATGAAGTCCAAGCTGTTTGAAACAAATTAGGATATAGCTCAATGAAGATGTCAGCTCATTCTGTGACAGCTGTGGAAAAGCCAAATATCATGTGCTGAAGGAAAAGTCTTCATCATGGTTCAGTCCAAGCTTTAGAAAGAAGGTTGCAGTTTATTGAAGAGGAAAGCCAGACAGGAAGATGGCTCTGGAAGAAAAAGAGAGAGAGCACATGTAGGGAGTGGGTTTTTATACCCACTGGAGCCTTTTGTTTGGAGTTGTTCCTGTGGCATGAACGTTGACCTGAGTGTGCCCTTTGGCATCTGTGGGTTAATCCTATTGTCCTGTCTTAGAGTTTGGGTGGGGTATGTAGATTTTAGGTGTCTTTGTCTTCCTAAGCGTCTAGCTGGGGGCCCCCAACCTTCCTGGATTATTTACATCTGTATTTCTACAGAGCTGGTTTCTGCTTGGGGGAGGGAGACTTGGGGCTATTAATAAAAACTGAGCATGCTTTTCTGCCTCTTTAATATTTCCTTCTCTGGGGGGAGCTGACTTCCCACAAATACTATGGGAATAAGGAAAGGGATTTAAACTAAAAACACCAACATCATAATCTCCTTACACAAATCTATGATACATCTTCATCCAGAGCACTATGCCCAAGGAGGAAGGGGAGTGCAAAACACTTTCCATATGAAAAAGGTCAGCATTCTTGCAACTCTTTAGCTCAGAAAAAAAAAGCCCTTGAGAGGAGATGTAACTGAGGTATACAAAATCATGTATGGCATTGAAAAAAATAGATAAGAAAAATGCTCGAAGACCAGGGCCATCAAACAAAGTTGTTTGGAAGGAGATTTTAGCCAGAAAGAAGAAAGCAGTTCTTCACACAGTGTATAATTAATCAGTGAAATTCATTACTACTCAACATGGTGACAGCTACTAAATTTGGATGGTTTTAAAAGAGATGATTTTAAACTTGAATAAATTCCCAGAAAACATGTCTTTACGGTATTTTGGTCTTGAGGAATGAATGTTGGGGGCAACATAATTCCAGAATGCAGGATGTCAGCCTTACACATATATCAAACTTAGAAGCCGACACAATGTGGGCCTAAAGCTACTTTTATTAGAAAAGCTATAGTAACAGAGAACCTTGCAAGTCTGAATATGCTTTCTCTCCTGACTCCTTTATTTTCATGTGAACGGGGGAGAGGGGGCATCTGAGGCATTTTCATAAATCTCTTTCTTGCTCTGGACTGAACCCATGTTTATCTGGTTGTTGCCTTGGTAACAGATCTTCCTTCTGTCCATCAAGGCTATACTCTCTATACAGGGAAATAATAGCTTAGGAAGAGTTTGTCTCTTGCTTAGAAGTACCCCAGAGCATCTAGTTGTGTGTTGTGAGAATCAAAAACAAGTCTTGGATGATACAGCCAGCCTCTTCTTAAGCTTTTCTGTTCCTAAGTGGTATTTTATAAAAATAGACCAATTTTTACTAGGTAAAAAATGTTTCTGCTTGTACTGCTGCAATGACAGCAGAAATGGAAACTGGAAATGATCCTTTTCTGTTCATTTCTAAAATGATTAGGAATTCAGCAATTTTAGTGACATATTAGAAGCAGATAATTCAAAAGGCTGGTCCGGCTTGATCAGAGGGTGGGGTACAAAATTATCTTATAGATAGTAACAAATTTGCTGGCTGGATGTTCTCTCAGGAAAAGGTTAGGAGGTTTGGTTTTGTGTGGGTGGTAGACAGGAAGAAAGCCTTCCTCCTTTGGTACAACAAGCTATTCATGCACGCTATATCAGCAAACAAGAAACTGATGAAAGAGAATGTATTACTTGGGCTGTGAGCTTTTATGAGCTTCCTTGGGAGGAAGCCTAGATGACGCTACCCCTCCTCCACCCCACCCCCCTTTCCTTCCAACATTGTTCAAAACACACTCAGATGATGCACACTGATTTCAAATCAGGGAGTTCTTTAATTCATGTTTCTTCTGTAAATTTATAAGGAGGCCGAGGCAAGCTCCTCTTAAAACATCTTCAGTAATGGAATAATTGTACTAATCCTCTTTAACAATATTACTGAAGCACTTTGAAAGCAAACGATAGATGTTATACATTTCTTTAAATTTATATAGTTAGCTTGTGTTTTGCCCTGAGCATATCAGTCTTTTGAAAATTACATTTTAAATCATTAGTAGACAGCATCTGATCCAGCTCTTCTAGAAGTTATGGGACTAAATCTCCCATCTTCCTATATTACTGACAAAGTAGCAGTTGGCAATCTACAACACCTGAAAGGCCACATATTGTCCCTCCTTGTCAGCAGGTGAGCAGAGCTCCTTTCTGACACAATTGTTTCCTTTTGTCTCTCTCCTACCTTTATTCCTTACTAGCAAGAAATCAAAACAGGAGCTATACAAACTGTTGTAATTCCCTCTCACCAAGGACTTTTTCTCCCATTTGCCCAAATTTAGGTACATAAACGTAACGCTTGATTTGGTTTTCAAGCTGTTTCTTTCTTCCACAGTATTCCAGAAGAACATCTCAAACTTATCCAGGATTATTTGAGCGGTCATATAACTAATGATATTGAAACTGTACAGCTTGGCTCATGGAATCTCCCTCAGCTGAAGAAACTACTTACAGGACTCTGCAAAGGACTCTTCAAGTAATCACAAGTTCATTTGTAGGCATATTTCAGTATCAACAATTTGAGAATTCTGTTTATAACTATTTATATAAATTCTTGATTAGTTAAGTTAAGTCATTGCTCCTTTGGCTTGAGCTCTTAGGATGGGGATTCAAAATCATTAAACCAGCATTCCATATGCAATAAAGCTTAAGAACCAAGAGTGAGGGCGAGGGAGGAATTCTGCCCAATGGGAAAGCAAAGGCCAAAAGGCGCGAGTGTCAAACTCGCGACGTCACATGACGTGTCACAACGTATCACAACTTTTTTCCCATTGCCGGCAATGGGGTGGGCACGATTTTGGCGTGATGCATCCAGACCACAGTCTGGCAGTTTGACACCCCTGCCATAGGGTCTACAAACCAAATTAAACCTCCACTTAATTAAGCCAATGTTGCTTACTTTCAACCAAATTGCACCTAAACCAAAAAGAAGTGCAGAACATATGTTAGAATGTAGAAGTCTAAAGCTATTTGAAAACTGGTAAAGAATCTGGAGAATTCTGGAAGCTGTCACCCTAATGGATTTAGACTAGAGTACATAATATTGGAGAATGCGAATATAATACTGCATAACCAAGTTGTTTATATACACGGCTTTTGCATTTCAGTGAGTTGTCTCGAACTTTACCTTCTCTGGAATCTATACAGATGGTGTTTGATCAGCAGCTTTCCCCTACCCATCGACATTCTCAGGTATGATTTTATGAAATTGGCAATATATGTCTCAGAATCCATATCAACTAAAGAGGGGTTGCATGATATACAGCAATAGTTAGCAAAGCATTCTTCTTAGTTGAAATCTTTTTTTGTTGTTGTTTCTTAATTTGTTTCTTAATTGTATTATGTTTAACATGGGCTACCCAGAAGTATTCCAGAAATAGGTAGGAGCTGCATTCATTCTTCAGGAGCAGATAGATGGTCTGGAAAAGTGTGCAATATTTTTAATGTCATTAGACTCATTTCTACATCAGATTGCAATGCCAGCTAGAATGCTTCCTGGATATGGATAACCTAATCACAAGGTGTCATGGATTAGTAACCTCATATCTTCATTATTGTCATGTGCTGCTGCCCTTATGGCTAGTGTGAGATAGGTACCTAGCCACTGTCCTCCAACAGTATTACTGAAAGACCTGGATTAGGTTACAGTTTTCTACTGAGCCAATTTTAAAATGTTGATATTAAAGATCATTGGGGGACTGGAGGCTAAAACCTATAAGGAACGGTTGCTGGAATTGGGTATGTCTAGTTTAATGAAAAGAAGGACTAGGTGTGACATGATAGCAGTATTCCAATATCTCAGGGGCTGCCACAAAGAAAAGGGAGTCAAGCTATTCTCCAAAGCTCCTGAAGGCAGGACAAGAAGCAACAGATGGAAACTAATCAAGGAGAGAAGCAACCTAGAACTAAGGAGAAACTTCCTGACAGTTAGAACAATTAACCAGTGGAACAACCTGCCTCCAGAAGCGGTGAATGCTCCAACACTGGAAGTTTTTAAGAAGAGACTGGACAGCCATTTGGTTAAGGTTGAAGAAGTAGAATATAAATGGGAGAAGGGAAGATCAAAGAAATATATCATTAATTAATATACTAATAATGGAATTATCAAACAATCATTATTGATTGTTAATTAATTATTATTGTCCTTTTTTCTTGTTAAAATATAAACCAAGACAACACGCTGTACACCAGGCACTGCAGATTGTTATCGTTAAAAACCAATAAAATATTTATAAAAAAAATAAAAAATAAAATGTTGATATTAAAGTATGAAATTCTAGACACCTATTCCCACATTCACACTGTCTGGAAATTCTTAGCATGATGGAAGAATTTAACAGTTTAAAATATATAGGTGAATGAGCTATATTACTACTATTTGCATTCTCTTTTCTCTCAGCTTAATAAATTTTTGGTCACTGACCCAGCACTACAGGTTGGTTATTCCATCTCTGAATGTTATATTTTTCCTTGTTACTTAAGGTGAAGGCCTGTAGTTTAGTGGATGGTCCATAATAATTTGCCCAAATAATATATGTGTGTGTGTGTGTGTGTGTGTGTGTGTGTGTACACGTATATACTGTATGCAGTAACTTCACCATTTCATATGCTCACCTCTTCCTGTGTTCTGCTAGAAAAACTCTCTTTCCGCCCACCCTGATAAATGAAGCATCTAAAGTTCTTTTGTGTCTGAAGCCCTGGAAAATCTTACTTGCAACTGTATAATGTTACTATTTTGTCTGCACGGCTTAGCTCTAGACCCATAATTACAAGATCACTTTCCATCATTTGCAACTTCTTCTCATTAAAGCACTGGATTTAAAATGGGTTCTTTTGCACTTAACCTTTCTGCAAATTCAGTTTCATTCTGGTCTGATATTCAGATTACTGATACTCACTGGGATAATATAAGGTTACAATGCTTTCTGAAATATATACGCAGATGATAAAGTGCCAGACATTTATTGGGAAAATGGTATTCCATTATTCTTATACTTTTCTTTTTCTATGCCATTCTTAACAGCCATCCTTTGATGTCAATCGTGCAAAATTGGTTCAGTTGACAAATTTGCTTTCTTCAATAGAGGATAAGGTACAGTGGCCTTTAGATATCTCTATGACTGCCACTTAATCTTCAGATGTACTATATCTTCTTATTTAAATACTTTTTATTATTTTATTTTTTTAAATAATCTATTTTAAAAAATGTCCCACTGTTTCTTATATGATCTGCAATCTTCCTAACAACTCATATGCCAAATTGCCAAATCTGCATTTTAAAAACCAGTTACTCATTTAGGAGTTTTTATTCTGTTGTGTGTAAATTAACTCAGAAAATAACCTTGTCATGTCATATGCATTTAAGGTTCTTAGAGATGCTGGAGCCTGGAAATTGAGGATAAGCATTCATTACTTTATTATATGAGAATTGATCTTCATACAGTTACAGCCTGTAGCTGGAAGAAGTTAAAATGTGTTTTTTTTTTCTTTTCGATTCATTGACCATTGTCATGGCTAAATCAGTCAGTTTATTTATAATTAGTGTAATCTATTGTACAGGTTACAATAAAGTAACCGGTACAAAATCTCCTAAAGTCTCCTTCTGTTGAAGTTTGAGATTGTCAGGTAGAACTATTCATTCTTATATTTTTACAGGTGAAAAGAGTATTGATTGATGGGTCAGATTCAACACATCGACGTTCACTTATCCCTCCTGTTACCTTTGAGGTGAATTTTAAGTATTATCTTGTCAGATAGAGAATTATTTATAATTCTTGATACAATGCTCTCACCTATTAAAAAAATAAACCATGTTCATACTGAAAGTGTGAAGTGTGCTAAGGCAACACTTACTCATTGAAGAAATGTTTAACATAATGTTAATATTAATTAATATATAATTAATATAACGATAGTATTAGAGCAGTGGTTCTCAACCTATGGGTCGCGACCCCATTTGGGGTCGATTGACCATTTCACGGGGGTCGCCAAGCAAGGCTGTCCGCCATTTTTTCCCCTTTTCTGGCGGGTGCCTTACCTCCCTTGGGCTGGGCCAGCTGGTGGTCGGCCTGCTCCGTCTCTGCCGCTTGCCAGCTACGCCTCGGCCGGCGCAGGGGGCGGAACCACACATGCGCGGTGCTCCCGGGCAGGGAAAGTCCTCGACTTACGACCGGTTGGGTAGTCCTCGACTTACGACCGGGTTAGTCCTCAATGTACGACCGGTTTATTCCTCGACTTACGACCAGTTGGGGGTCGCGGCATTAAAAAGGTTGAGAACCACTGTATTAGAGGGATAACATCACGATCACGTGAAGTTCTACTACTGCTTTACAAAGCCTTAGTAAGACCACACTTGGAATACTGCATCCAGTTCTGGTCATCACAATATAAAAAAAGTGTTAAGACTCTGGAAAGAATGCAAGAACAGCAACCAGAATGATCGGGGGCTGGAGGCTAAAACATATGAAGAAAGTTTACAGGAATTGGTTATATCTAGTCTAATGAAAAGAAGAACTAAGGGAGACATGATAGCAGTGTTCCAATATTTGTGGGGCTCCTACAAAGACGAGGGGGATCAAACTCTTTTTCCAAGCACCAAAAGGCAAGATGAGAAACAACGGATGGAAGCTAACCAAGGAGAGAAGCAACCTAGAACTAAGGAGAAATTTCCTAATGGTGAGAGCAATCAATCAATGGAACAGCTTGCTTTCAGACGTTATGCGTGCTTCACCACTGGAGGCTTTCAAAAAGAAACTGGACAACCATTTATCTCAAATGGTATAGGACACGGGTGTCAAACTCGCCACGTCACGTGACGTATCGCGGTGTATCGCGACTCTTTTTGCATTGCCGGCAATGGGGTGGGTGCGGCTTTGGTATGATGAAACTGGGCCGTGGGCCGGCAGTTTGACACCCCTGGTATAGGGCCTCCTGCTCGAACAGAGGGTTGGACTAAAAGACTTCTAGGTCCCTTTCAACTCTATTATTCTATGTTCTATGATATGTCTCTGCAAGTTAGCCATATAATATGAAAAGTATGTGTAAATAACATTTCTTCTGTTATAGGTGAAAGCAGATTGTCTTGGGATTTCTTCCAAGATTCATCTTAAAGTTGATGTTGAGATGGGAAAACTTATTATTAAGAAAGCTAAGGATGGTCCTGAAGATAAGTTCTATAACCACAAAAAAAGTGAGTGGGTGGATCACTTGCCCCATTTACATTTATTCAGCACTTTTGCTGACCTGGGAACAACAATACTATTTGAGGAATTACATTTTTTTTCAGGTTTGCTTTACACATAAATGTTGAATATGCAAATATATGACTGCAGAGGTTACACTGTAACTTCCTAATACTTTTATAGTGAACACATTCAGATAGTATTTTGATTGAGCAATGGACACAGGCATACACACTTGAAAGTGAAATTCCAAGTGAAGTGCCTTAGCAGTTCAAAAAGAAGTCTGCTTTCATTATAAATGGTTGTTACATTTTGTGCCTTCAAAGAGAGAAGATTGGTGATTTTGATTGGTGATGATAATTTTCTTTCAGTAATCAGACTAAAACTGCAGGTGATAAAGAAATAAACTTATTGTGGCATTATCTAAGAACTAGCTTTAAAGAGAAATGTAGGGTACTTCTTACTTCTGATTGCTGTTCCATCATAGAATCATAGGAAGGAGCAGGGCTTTTTTTCTCATAGAACGCCCAGAACGGAGTTCCGGCACCTTTTTTGGATGGAACCTTGTAGGGTAGGCAAGGCGGGTTGTATAACGTGTGTGAGTTCCGGCACTTTTTTTTTTTTTTTTATAGAAAAAAAGCACTGGGAAGGAGGTAGAATGTACAATATTCTAAACCTTGGTAAAAAGGAATAATATGGTACAACAGGGAGACTGAAGTTAGTTCTCAATTCCTACTTCTCTATTTTATTTAAAGATTGAAATGAAACATGAGAATAATATGGATTCTCTGAATAAGTATATCGTGAACTATGAAGAACTTTAGAGGAACTGATATGGAGCAATCAGTTTGTGACATGAACATATAATTTAGAGTGCTCTAACAACCAAAGCAGTATCTAAATTCTTATTTTATGTTCAGCTGTTCATTTTATTGCTGGTTTGATAGACATATATGTTTATATTATGGAGTTTTAAAATTTTCCTAGTAGGTGTTGGAGAGCAACTGTCCCAGTCAGGAGGAGGGATCAAATGGGGAATTAGCATGCTTTGAAGGTGATCACCCAGTATTTTGCTACTCTGTGTCAAATGTAGATTTTCCCTCTTTGCTGGTGCTGCTGTATTTCGTTCTATCTTATACAAATGCCTCAGTTGCAAATGGCGGTGTGTATTCTGGCAAGTATGCCTTGCCCATGACTTGGCTATTTTCTACTGGTGTAATGAGCTGCCTGCTGAGAAACGACCTTATGTCCTCCTCCCATCAGTGCAAATAGTAAAATAATGAAAAGCCATTTCTTTGTTTGTTTAGCAGGTTCAGCAGAGAAAGGCCATTTCTTTATTGCCTCCACCAAAGTTATGCCCAGAGAAGGGGGAAATGGCGATACTGGCTTTCCTGGTTTGGCTAAAAAGGGGAAAGAGGATTGGGGGGTCCCCCAACCAGGGACTGTGTTGCTGCAGTCCAGAGGGAACACTTGGTCATCATTATGGCCAAAGTTGGGGTGTACATTTTTAATCATGATTAAATTTTATTCTGTAGTTGTGATTATAAAGCAAAAGATTTTTGAACTGAATGAACACTGTAGAAGAGTTAGGCTGGCAATGATGAGAACAGCCTTTTCTAGCCTGGTGTTTGGCACTTATAGATCCTCTTCAGCCTGGTTTTGGCTTGGCTTTGAGACAGAAAGTGCTTTGATTGCCCTGTGAAATGACCTTTGATAAGAAAAAAATAGAAAGGGTATATGCCTGTTGGTTCTTTGAGATCTTTCAGCCTAATACTATCAATCGTGGTCTCATTTTATTTATTTAAGTAACTGTTCAAAAAGAACAGAAACAAAAGAAAAAGCAGAAAAAAGCCAAATAATAAAAAGAAAATTGAAAGGAGATTTATAAGCAATATAAGATGAAATAAAAACTTAACTCTGGACTGAGTTAGGTGACTGTTTGTCACTGGTCATGTAAAAGCTGAACCACTCTGCTCTCCTTTCTGCAGTAGGTAATATAGTATTAGAGTAATTGACACAGAGTGAAAAAAGGTGTTTCCAGAAAGTGATAATGGGAAATTATAGTTCTGCTTTGTGGTATTTGCTCAGAACTCAATTTTAGTCCCAATGTTACTTTATATTTTACATGGAACCTCTTGAGATAATGACCCAGGATTGTATTGCCATTAATAAGCAGATGAGTTATTTTGGATCACCTATTTTTATTTTCCAGTTTTGTTTGCATTTTATGTATTAATTGTTATTTTTCTGAAGTTTTAGGTTTATTTTAGTAACTGTCTAATCTTTCCAGAACATTGATTATTGCACAAATTATAAATGGAATAAATAAGAGTTAGCAAAACTACTGGAATTCTCAGTTACAAAACCAACAGCTAAGAACTTGTTAGCATTCAGTATAATAACTCCACAAGCCTGGAGAGGATTTACATAAATAGAACATTTGGAGTGGTCCAAAGCCTACTGAGGGTGCATATGGACTTTTTAAATAAAATAAAAAATTGGGAAGTTGAAATAAGTAATTGAGAATCAGTTTTCCCTCAACTGATAGTTGAAAAGCGATCATGTACCAAGGTTGTTTAAACAAAACACTGAATTGGTCTGGGTAATAAAGCACAAAGTAGAAGTGTTACTATCCTTAAGGCATTTTTGAAGGGAGGCAAATATGCAGTTTTGAGATATTTCATTAATATATTGATTCCATTTTTACCATTAATTCAAACTAGGGTCTGCCAGCAGAAAAAAAACAAATCAAGAATATATATATATAGGTTCCCTTAGTGTTTTCATAAATAATACTTCATTTAATTGTTCTCAATTTGATTACCTTTAATTCATATGCATTTCAACACTAAACATTTCTGTCTACCATTTGATACTTTATTTACAATATTCCCATATGATGCTTCCCAAAGCAAAAGACGCTTTAAAGCAGCTTTCCTCACTCTTGGGACCTAAGATGCTACTCTTCCTTCTTCGGTACCAAAAGCCTTTCTTCCAGAGGAGACCTGCAATACAAGTTTGTTGCTGTATTGATCGAGTGATTTGTATGGCCACACATGACATTAGGCCGTGAACAAAATTTTAAAAAGTGAAAACAATTGAAATAATATAAGAATTAAAATACATGTCAACTGAGGTCTTTTATGGTCACCAAAACCACTGAATTATGATTCAGAATAATAGATTCTGAAACTGTTTACATTTTTATACAGGATGGCCTAGGCCCTAGCCAGAAAAGAGGTTTATTTTCAGTATCTGCACATCTTTCATCTTCTCAGCTGCTTAAGGAAAAGAGATTCCAGAGATTTCCTTAGGAAGTTGAACAGAAATTGGATGAAACCCAGATCTGGGTTTTACATTATCTTTTAATTTATGTAGGATGTAACATTATCAATCTTCACTACACATATGCTTTATAGCTGCTATGTTTTACAACTCTTACTCAATATAGATTCATTAATTAAAATATGAATCATATAACAGGAAGAAAAACTGAAAACTTCAGGCCTTTGTATGTAATGCTATTATTTTAGAACAGTAGCATTTCAGCATTGTAGCATACTACATATCTCTTGATGAGGGAAGATAATAGGCATTTTTAGTACACAAATGGACAATCTAACTTGCATAAAGTATTCTGGAGAATAACTAAGAATCCAACATACAATAATTAATATTATTGCAATCAGTAAGTGTTCCCCTGCCTGTAACTTCTTTTTATCTGATCTGGGTAATAGTACAATATGTTTAGTTCAGTCTTTTTTTAAATCTATTTTAGCAATCGTGATTGTTGTAGCAATCCTACAAGTAGAATTGCTGTTTTATTAAAGTTTGTAAACTTTTATTTCTTTCAAAGTGATAAGTTGCCCTGGCAACTTGTCAGTTGTCTAGTCATCTACAAAGGATAACAGTGCTGTTGTCTATATCTAAGGCTGTCTAACTTTACACTTTTCCTTTCCACCTTTTCCACTTTTCCATCAAAAAGATTTTTCCACGTATGTAATATACAGACTATGCGTAGTATTTCAGCAGCAACTGATACATTGGGGGTTGGGGTCTGTGTACAGAAAGTCCCCACTCAGTTACACTTGCCTGTCACATGGTAACCTGTGTAGGAAAAAATACTGATGTGGATTGTTTGGCAGGGACAGGTTGAGCCAGATGTGGGCAAGTCTCTTTTGATTTAGTGGGAAATCCCCAGCACCAGATCCACAGGGATGAAGGGACAGTTGCCTGGCCATCTTAAGTTGGTCCACACTAAACTGTTAAAGAGGCAGAGACTAGAAACCAGAAGTAGGAATATAGCATATTTATGCTGGCATACTTTCTGTTGCTTCCTAAACTGTAGAAAAGCACTTTAAACCAGTTGTCTCAGTGTACCCAAATCTAAGTCAACCACTCTGAGCTCTGTCATTGATTACATCCTCTCTACCCATTTTTAAATCAGCAACATATTAAACTCTACAAATACAGTATCTTGCTCTAATAAATGATATGTTTAAAATTTATTTTGGGATGCAAAATGGAGAATTATTGCATGCAACTTATTTTCCAAGTCAGTGAAGTTGCAGCAGCAGCTGTTGAGAAATAGTAAAGTTGTCAGATAGCTGTTTTGCTATGTCCGTACTAGCATGGTTCTCTTCTAATGTGAATTGTTCCTTTAATTGGAGTTTAGATTTGAGTTTAGTTTCTGCTGGTTGTAAAAAATGCATATCAGTAACTTTCCTATTCATTAATGCTGACTTCTGTGACAATCTCATATCTTTCTATGAAATGGTGAATAGATACAGTTTGTGTAAGATATATGACTCACTCAAGAGTTCTCCTAATTAGGCAATCACACAGTTTAATGAACAGAAATTATTCCAGCATTCAAATGAGGCTTCAAAACCACAATAGATTTGCACCTGAGGCTTAGTTCTGAGTCGCTGTCAATTTTTAAAATGCCTATCATAGTGCAGTAGGATTGGATTGTGCAACTCAAGTTCTAAGAGGGAAGACATATTATTAGCATGGGCTCTTTCAGTTTCAGAATTTCTAAGATTGACTTGGTTTTTGCTCTTGTTTAGTCCTACAGCTCATCAAGTCTCAGAAGTTTCCTAACAAGCTGGTCATTGTACTGGAGACAGAAAAAGAAAAAGCACAAAGGAAAGAATATGTCTTTGCTGACTCTAAGGTAAAAGGCTCCCTTCTGAGTGTTTTAGCATAGCAGAAATATTACTATTTATTTTATAGCATTATTTTTGTTAATTAAAAATGCAAAATGACACACTTATTTATTTATTTATTTATTTATTTATTTATTTAAAACCTATCTCTTTTTTCTATTAGAGAAATTGGTACTGAGACAATGTATAGAGGTTTTCAAGGGATGTATTTGAGGATAAATAAATATTATCTCTAACTGTCCAGCTTGGATCATTAGAAACAAAGAAAATAAACTGTGAATCAGAAGAGAATGTTCAGTTTAATTGTTCAAGACATCCAGACAGTTTAACTCTGACATCTCTGTGTACATTGGATAGGATGCTATTGCAACTGCATGTTACAGTGTATGTACACATAAATACACAAAAACTCCTCAAGATAGATCTAGAGGACTATGGGAGATGTATTCAGGAAGCACTAAAATAAAATGGATGCTCAATAAAAATAATGAACAATAAATAATATAACTTAAATATTACTTAAATATGAGCCAGCAGTGTGCTGCAGCTGCCAAAAAAGCCAACACAGTGCTAGGCTGCATTAACAGAGGGATAGAATCAAGATCACGTGAAGTATTAATACCAGTTTACAATGCCTTAGTAAGGCCACACTCGGAATACTGCATCCAGCTTTGGTCACCACAATGTAAAAAAGATGTTGAGACTCTAGAAAGAGTACAGAGAAGAGCAACAAAGATGATTAGGGGACTGGAGGCTAAAACATATAAGGAACGGTTGCTGGAATTGGGTATGTCTAGTTTAATAAAGAGAAGGACGAGGGGAGCCATGATAGCAGTGTTCCAATATCTCAGGGGCTGCCACAAAGAAGAGGGAGTCAAGCTATTCTCCAAAGCGCCTGAAGGCAGGACAAGAAGCAACGGATAGAAACTAATCAAGGAGAGAAGCAACCTAGAACTAAGTAGAAACTTCCTGACAGTTAGAACAATTAACCAGTGGAACAACCTGCCTCCGGAAGTGGTGAATGCTCCAACACTGGAAGTTTTTAAGAAAAGACTGGACAGCCATTTTTTTTGAAATGGTATAGGGTTTCCTGTCTGAGCAGGGGGTTGGACTAGATGACCTCCAAGGTCCCTTCCATCATCATCATCATCATCATCATCATCATCATCATCATCATCATCATCATCATCATCATCATCATCATCATCATTATTATTATTATTATTATTATTATTATTATTATCTTTGATTCATTAATTCAGATAATTTCAGTTAACAACATGGTATAATTTGCATTTAAAGTATGCATATTTTGTCTTCTTTAACCAGTACTATATATATCTAACCCCTCACCACAAGCAAGCATTGCTTGTGTATTTATCCACAATGCACTGAACCGTTATTATTATTAACATCAATAATAGCTATCTTCCCATAGCTACAGCTCTCTGGGTGGTTTATAAAACTATTTAAAACCAATTAAGACAAGCACATATATTAAAAGGTAGCAGACAAAAAATAATGATGTCATTTTTTGCCCCTGAAGAAAAATTAGGATATAAATTGAATCAATAAATAAATGCTGTTATTACGATATCACATGACTGCTTAAAACAATACACAATAAATGCCTGGGAAAAAGAAGAATCTATTTGCTTGCACTGTGGACATTTCAATTGGATTTAAGGCCTGTCTTCCTATGGAGGTCATTCCATGAATCCTGAAACTGAGAAAGTCACTTCCTTACTTTCCTCTGGATACCCCCACCGACTGACTTTTTTCTTCAGAAATGGAAGGACAGACTCCTATTGTCACAAGAACTATAACCAGGCACTATATTTTCTTATATAGCCCTTCTCTCTTTGCAGTCACACTGTGATGTCAGTGAATTGGCAATCTTATCTGTAACATGTGCCTTTGCATATATATAATAAGGTTGCTGCATTTGTGCTGGGGCTCTACAGTATTCTACCAGAACATCAGCTCATATGGAAGCATTTGCATGTCTTAAAAGCTCCCTATTGCAGATATTTTATCCATCAAGATCAGCTCTCTACACTGTCTTAGGAAAGGAACTATTCATACTCATTGGATATGGAGATCTATGGGTGTGCTTATCACCTGAACAGGTTTAAGGTAATCTAACTTTATTGCATGCCAGTATGACTGACACCATAGGCTTCTGATTGGACTGTACTTTGACTATTATTTTAAAAAAGTGATTGCTCATAATATATTCCATCTCTCTCTCTTTTTCTGTGTTTATGCCCACTCAAAACAGAAAATCTGAACACATAATTTTTAATTTTTTTCTTATTTTATTATCCATGGGAAAAAACTCCAAGTGCCTCCAGAGATTATTTCATCAATAGAATAATACCATAAAAATAATACCATCTCAATACCTGTTCTGTTCATGAATGCAAGAAACTAATTTGGATTCAAATTCTAATAGATTAAAGACAACAAAATCAAATATTTTATCTCAGCAGTTTACTAAAATTCTTTGAACAGCTATCATACCATAAAACTAATTATAAAGGAAGGATTTGAACTGATCTAAACATTTCTGTGTTTAGCATTTTCTCCAGCTTCTAAATAATTAAAAATAGTCTTAACTATCTATTGAAATGTTACCAAATCAAAGAGATCACTTATAAGTTGCTACTCTTCTTGAAAAATGTGAAAGCATTTTTTTCAGCTTACATGTAACAAATGAAGGGGCTCTTGATCAATAACATTGAGTTAGTTATACAGTATTTCATTTTTCTTTTGTTTTTTTACTCTTCTATTTTTCAGAAAAGAGAAGGCTTCTGCCAACTTCTACAGCAAATGAAGAACAAGCATTCTGAACAACCAGAACCTGATATGATCACCATCTTCATTGGATCCTGGAATATGGGTATAAATTTCATTTCAAATTTACATCCTAGCCTCTGCTATACAAATTACTGTCCTACCAGAAAAGAGGAAAATCAGAGATAGGACAGGTCTCTTGTCAGATTTTCTGCACATTATAACTAGCAACTTGTGATAACATGAGATGTGTAAAAAAAAAATCTAGTCCACTTTATTGTCTGCCTTAGTACAACAATATTTTGATTTGGCAAGCTTATTAGAGATTCTTTTTTAAAAAACCGAAAATTTTCTATTTATATACTGTATATAATGGTTCCTAACATAACTGAGCCTTTCTATTAATCTTCTCCTATTTTATGTAGATATTAATATAAAGTGCCAGAAAATATTTTATGTAATTCACATTGCACTCCTCTGATAATGTACTATTCCCTAATGCACCTTCTTTTCCCAGTGTCAATAACACAATTACTGTGCTGTTCTTTAGAGAATAGCATATTTTCTTTTCAGAAATGTGTGCCTATGCATGTTTGTGGATATTTTTGAATGGGAAGGGACAAATGCTATCTAGACTTTGGTTGTTGTTAACATTTGTGTTGGTGTGGAATCTTCTGAAAGCAGAATGCTCAAATCTGCTTATAAAATTATTGATAAAAATTATTTTCTACAACCCTATCACAGATTTCCCAGCTACTCTCACTGTTATATTGCCCAACTGTTTTAGGATTAATGTACTGTAACGTATAGATGATCCCTTACTCTTCTTTTGCATGGCAGAATAATCAGAGCTTATTCACAGCCTTGTGGGCTTCTTTCCTCCTATTTGTTCTTGATTTGTTTTAAAATTGGATAGCAAAATAAAATAAACTGCAAATTTTATACAAGCTGGTTGATTCTCCTCCCTTTGCCATTTATTTAATTATGAAACTATCTGTTGGGAAATGCAAGGGTACCCTGTTCAACAGCAATAAAGGTAGAATAAGGCAATAAATAAATACTTCCATATATGGTTATGTCCATAATCAAATGGGATTCTACATACCATATATTTCTTTAGGTGGATGGGAAAATAGTAATCGCAACAGCACTTAGACTTATATACCACTTCACAATGCTTTACAGCCCTCTCTAAGCGGTTTATAGAGTCAACATATTACCCCCAGCAATCTGGGTCCTCATTTTACCGACCTCAGAAGGATGGAAGTCTGAATCAACCTTGAGCTGGGAAGAATTGAACATTGTAACCACTGTACCACCACAGCCCATAATGCAGTGTTTGTTCTAGTTTTAATACCTGAATATTATCAAATAGGACTATAATAAGTCTTTTTAGAGGAAAGTTGGGGAATATAATTTATGGTCCTCTTGCCTCATTTTGCAGCTACTACTAATTCACTAGTGATAAACTGATGTTTTTTGTAGTTTTATTTTTAGTTACTTTTTAAAGCCCCCAAACTGGCTGAGGTTTAGATAGCTTTCATGCAACTCACTTTATTAAATATAATAAATTGGAGGTCCCAGTTTCATAGATTTTTCATTCATCTCCCTCCATAGTCCACCATGCATTCTGTGATCTTCAGAGGAAAAAAACATATAGCTTAAAAGTGAACCAGTATTAGCGTCAAAGAAGGTTGTCCAACCCTAGTAAAGACTGAGCTAGATTCATTATTATAGTAGTTTCTTATGCTTATTTTGGTTTGGGATTTGCTAATCAAGGTGATGCTCCTCCACCAAAGAAGATCAGCTCCTGGTTTCTCTCCAAGGGACAGGGTAAGACCCGTGATGACACAGCTGACTATATTCCACATGACATCTATGTGATTGGAACACAGGAAGACTCCTTGGGGGACAAAGAATGGCAAGAGATTCTAAGGCATTCCTTACAGGAGATTACCAGTATCAGCTTCAAAGTGGTAAGAATTTTTGTTAATGTTTAAAATTGTAGTTGGGGAGTAGATTGTTCTATTGTTTATTGCAAACAACAATAATCATCTCCAAAATGCATCTGCATTTGCTTTTTTGAAATGATACATTAGATGTTCCCAAAGACCATTAGATATAGTGATAAAATCCTCAAATCAAGCTCAATGTGTGACTTCATGGACATACGTATAGTTTCCTTGCCAAGGAAACTGTAAAGGATCTGGATGGAGCAAAATAAGCTCCATCTGAGCTAGTTCCAAAATTGAGTCACTATTCATCAGCAAATATTTGGGCAATCCAGTAACATTAGTCCTGATAGTTACTAAGGATGGAGTTATAATCAGTTGAAAGACTTAATTCATGATCTAGGATCCTGCTGACCCTTGGGTCATGCTAAAACAGCAGGTGAAAGTCATGGCCCTGGAGTCCTTTGGCTAGCTTCAGCTGGAGCACCAGTTAAAAATCACTTGAATCAACATGATCTGGTGGCAGTAATTCATGACCATCACCTCTAAGGTATGTAACATGCTGTGGAGTTACCTGTGGAAATTATTCCAAAGCTGCAACTGGTGTAAAATGCAGTTGCAAGATTGCTAACAGGTTAATCTTAACAAGTGTAGAATGATATGATTTTTAAGTCACTGAACTGATTACCAATAGATTTCCAGCCTTTACTGAATGTTCTTTAAAACCCTTTTTAGAGTAGCCCTGGATTACATCAGGTAATAACTTGCTTAAAGCCCATTTATCTGGTATGGATAGAGAGAGAGAGCCTGTTAAAGTCCTCCATTGTTGTGAAGTACCTTGTATAGGGTATGGAACAGGTGACAGGCCTTCTCAGTGGTGGCCCCCACTTTGGAAAAACACATATTTATCCCTGTATTTGGTGGTTCCAATTCTCCTTGGCTTTCAGAAAGAAGTGAAGAGTATTCTATTATATCATACTTTGTATTTTGTTGTGTATGGGTGATTATCATTAAGATTTATCACTATTGAAATGTAACTCCCTGAGCCTGGGAATTAGAAATCTATCTTATAAACAGATAGCCAGCCCCCATTAAATCAAGAGAATCAAAGGCATTAAAGATGACTTCCCTTAAAAGACTCACTGATTAAAAGAGAACTTAGCAATTATCATTGCTATTATTGATTGTCCTGAGTAATTTGATTTGAGAACTATTGTTCAGTACCCAACGACCATAAGGACCACTAAGGCAACCAATAAACAAACAATATGGAAGAAAATTCCCATTGTTGCTTCTGGGTTGCTTTCAGATCATAACTATCTCAATCTATTTTTATCATTAACCACACAAAGTAAATGTAAGAGTAGATCTACAGATGAAACTAAGGTTAAAAGAAATCATAGAAGGCAATTATAAAATAATTTTAACTAAAAGAAATTTCAGTTGAAATACATCTAAAAATAGAGAGCCAATTTGGTGTAGTGGTTCAGGCACCAGACTAGAAACCAGGAGATTGAATTCTAGGCTCATCTTAGGCACAAAGCTATCGGAAGGACCTTGAACCAATCACTCTCACTTAGTCCTAGGGCAGTGGTGGCGAGCCTATGGCATGGGTGCCAGAGGCGGCACTCAGAGCCCTCTCTGTGGGCACGTGCGCCGTCTCCCCATTCCTAGGCCTTCAGCTGCGTTTTATAAAACCTTTTCGCTTTAGGCCTCCGCCGCCGTGTAAAAAAAAAAAAGGTTCAATCAATCAGTCAATTTCAACTTCTCGCAGGGAAAAAAAAGATCTTGCAAAGTTGGAATTGATTGATTGAACTTTTTAGTCCCACCCAGTCTGCCGTTACCACTGCAGCCACACCTACCCAATGGGCCACACCCAGCCAATGGGCCACACCCACCCGGCACCCAATGATGCATAAGTGGGTTTTGGGTTGCAGTTTGGGCATTCGGTCTCTAAAAGGTTCGCCATCACTGTCCTAGGGAGCAGGCTATGGCAAATCACTTCTGAAAAATCTTGCTAAGAAAACTTCAGGGACTTGTCCAGATAGTCACCAGGATCAAAAATTGACTTTACTAAATATATACAGTATGCTTTGTTTTTCAAGATTAATAAAGTGCCTAATTAAATTTTCCAACTTCATATACCTCAAATTGCCTAGTTAGATAATAGCACCTAACCAACACTGCCTATTTTTAATACAGGTAGTCCTTGACTTACAACCACAATTGAGCCCAAAATTTCTGTTGCTAAGTGAAACAATTGTTAAATTAATTTTGCCCCATTTTATGTCCTGTCTTGCCACAGATCACTGCATTTGTTAAGTTAGTAACACAGTTGTTAAGTAAATCTGGCTTCCCCATTGACTTTGCTTGTCAGAAGGCTGCAAAAGGTGATCACGTGGCCCTGGGACACTGCAACCGTCATAAATATGAGCCAATTACTGAGCATTTGAATTTTGATCACATGCAATGGTAATAAGTCACTTTCTTCAGTACCATTTTAACTTTGAATGGTCACTAAATGAAATATTGTAAATCAAGGACTACCTGTACACAAATAGCAAAATAGTATGCAGTAGTATGATAAAATTGCTTTTATCATTCAGTTAAAAGTTTAGTTAAAACATGGCTCCATTATAATAGTGGGACTATGTACTGGGATTCATTTCACAATTCTTAAATGAAAAATATTTATATTTTAGCATTTTGCTTCTGTTCAGAAAATTGTTTCTGTACATAATTGGTTCTCGTTAGAATTCTGATCACAAGAATATTGTAAAAACTCAATATATGTTATTGGAAAATGGTTATGTATAGGTCCCTAGTTATTGTAATCCAGATACCTAGATTTAATTTTACTTTTTTAAAAAATTAGATAGCAACCCATACTCTCTGGAACATCAGGATTGTTGTACTGGCAAAACCTGAACATGAACATCGCATAAGCCACCTCTGCATTGATACTGTGAAGACTGGAATTGCAAACAGGCTGGGTAAGATTTGGGCAGACACCCCAAAAGGCATTTTAAATTGCTATTTTTCAGATGTTGGCTCTCCTATTCTATAAAATAAACTAGAACAAAGTTACCTTTTTAATATATAGGTCTCTAGTTATTTACTTATGAAATTGCAAACAAATAAATGTTTATTCATTTATTCAATTTATATGGTCACCCTTTTTACTCTCACTAGGTGGCTAACAGTTCATTAAAAAAATAAAAACACAAATCCAATTTAAAAGCTAAAGCCACTAAAGAACATACAACGTGCCAAGGCCTACAAAAAACATGGTGTCTCATTCAGTCATACAGTCTGATTCAACTAAGTTTATGGCCCCAGCACCTGGAGGAAGAATCATGTGTTTAAAGTATTTCTACCACTACTACTATTGGGGCCATCCAAATTGCAGGGGAAACACTGTTTTGAACAGCAGTTGCCGTAACAAAGAAGGCACAACAAAAGGATCTGAAGCTTGTCTGAAGTATGCCAGATCTAATGAGAGGAGCAGAGAAAATTGGAGATTGGTGATCTGGTAGATAATTGCATACAATGGAAAATTTTATAAGTGACAACCAGCACCGTGAATTGCACCCATGAGATGGGTCCAGTACATCTCATGGAGTTATGGTATTATAAGGTTATACTGCATTATGCATCAAACTGCCTTTTCTGCTTCATTCCAAGCTTTCCAGTTTAGGAATAAACTCAAATTAGCACAGAGTGTTGTGCAAACAACCCACATATTGTGAACCAACTATTGATAGAAGGGGACCCCAAAGCCCATAACTACTTAATCTTGCTAGGGTTATGCTGAAGCCTTACCTACAGCTTCTGAGTATCAAAAAGAACATCAATAGCATCACTTGGTTGATCAGGAACAGAGATGTATAATTATGTACCATCAGCACTGATTATACTTTATCCCATGAGGTCAACTGATGATCTCACCTAGTGGTTTCATGCAGATGTTTAACAAAGCTGGAAGAGAACAGAGTCTAAGCCACTTTACAAAGACGAGCCTTGAGCTAGATCTCTCCCTACCACTAGTACTACTGGAACCAGCCTCTAAGTAGGAGAAAAATCACTGCGTAATGGTACTACCCATTATCAATCCACTAAATCAGGCTTTTCAACCGGTGGTACGTGTACCATTTGTGGTACATTAACTAGTGGCAGGTGGTACACAGCCCTGCCTAGCCAAGTGTAGTGGGGGAGGGAAAGAGCCAGTGCAGGCAAGGACTTACTGTGAGAGAATCCTCTGGAGCTGCAAAGTGGCTGGGGCGAGGCAAAGGCCTCAGGTTCACTTTTGGCTCACCCTCCCCCATGAGAAAGGAGGAGGAGGTGGGGCAGAGACAAGAGAGGCTATAAAAGGAGGCAGTTTGGGCGGGAGAGGGAGAGAGAGAGAAAAAAGCAGCCTTGGGAGGAGGTGGAGTCAACTCTAGCTGCACCGAAGGGGAAGGAGTCCTCCGGGAGAAGGGCGGGGTATAAATTAAATAAATAAATAAATAAATAAATAAATAAATAAATAAATAAATAAATAAATAAATAAATAAATAAGGAGGACGGTGGGGGGGAGAGGAGAGGAGATCAAGCAGGCCGGCCATGAGCAGATCTACAACTTCTGTGGCAGCTACCTGTGCTGGCAGCAACAAACAGACAAGAAATGCAGCAGGGGAGGGTAGCATCAGCTGGAGGTGAGACACGGAGGGAGATAGAGAGTGGAAGGATTCTTATGTGCTTTTGTGACTTTGAAGTTCTGGAAATTGTGCAATGAGGGCTTTGTGTTCTTAAGCAGTGTTTGGCAATTTCTATTTGGCTGATGGCTCATGTCTCCTGTTAACTTCTATTGCTCTGCTATTGTTAGCTGTAAGTTTTGCTGCAAGGGATTTTGAAGTATTTTTCTCCTGAATGGATTTTGCCTGTAGCATTCCTTTACTTATGAATGGAGCCATTTGGGGAGGCTGCCTTAGCCGGCAGCCAATACTTGCTACATTTTTTTTCTTCCTTAAATGACGGCTGCGCTCCTGAACTTTCCTTTCTAGCCAGTAGCTAATTCTTAAAGAGGAATGTGCCTTTTTAAGCTAGTTCACTCAGCAGCTTGTCTTTTCTGTCTTTGGAGACTTTTCCTTGTTTGATGAAAATATGGAAGAGGGAAAATATGGGGGGGTTCAAATTCTTCCTTCATAAGGAGATGGGCATGAGAAAGAGAGAGGGAGGGAGGGAAGTCCCGCCTTAGCACTTGGCCACCAACAGCCCTGCCATTGACTTTGCTTGTCAAAAGGTTGCAAAAGGGGATCACATGACCCTGGACACTGACCATCATAAATATGAATCAGTTGCCAAGCATCCAAATATAAATCACATGACCCTGGATATGCTGCAATGGTCATAAGTGTGAAAAATGGTCATAAGTCATTTAAGTGCAATTGCAACTTTGAACAGGGTTGTTTTTTTTGGTCATCAAGTTTTTGACACCTTGCTAGGTGGTACTCGAATATTGCCATATCCTAAAAGTGGTACAGTCGGTGAAAAGGTTGAAAAGCCCTGCACTAAACCGTCCTAAAAATTCAATTTTAATAAAGACGAGGACAATATTGGTTATCTCCATAAAAACTGGAACTAGATTTGGAATATCTTTATTAAACTGGGTATTGAACAAATGAGCCAGTTCAGTTGGAAGTTATCATTAACATACTTTTAAAAATATTTTATACTACAAAAAATAAACCAAAGTTCTATACAGGAATATCTTTTGTAATTCAGTCTTTAATGATAGAGCAACTCAAGCTCATAACACTATATTTTTGGATTCAAGGAATCTCATACTGAGATAGAGTTCCATTTATCCTGCTGATCAGATTCATTCATGGAAAATTCCATGGTTAGAAAACTACTACTGGGGTTTTCCTTGTGTCCCTGTTAATAGAACCCATAAGGCTTTTAGAAAAAATATTATTGTAACAGATGTCGGGGGGCCCAAGAGCTAAGAAAGACATGTAGAATTACTTCTGAACAGTTTATTTTATTATTTGTCACCTATAGAAAGAACGTTTGCAAAACTAAGCAAGTATTTGCATAATTAAAGATATACACTGAGAATTGCTGGGTCAGAACCTTATTAACTCTCTTTCTCCCAACAAACTACCTAAGTTTTGCTGTCTCTTTGCCTTCTGGAATGGAGCCTCTCCTTTCTGAGAGTCCATTCCATCACATCAGGATTTGGGGCTGATGTAAGTTAGTGATGGATTTTAAGACTCACTAACTGCTCTAAATTGTGAAGATGGCCCTAAATCAGGCAATTGAGCTGTTCTGTCTGTACACTTCAATCTAAATAAGTCTTCCCAGTTGACCCGTCCTCGTGATCTATCCATGACATTGGCTCTTCATATAACCTGAGCTAAGTTATGATTACAACTTTAATTCTTTGCTTCTGAAAATCTAAAAAACCATGATGTGCTTCATTTTAAAATGTCTTATTTTAATAAAAAAATATTAACCAGATGCAGAAATTAAAAGTAAGTAGAAAAAGTAAAAGAAAATTGAATTAAAAAAGCATAATAGAAGAAAGAGATATAAAACAAAAAGTTCAATCCTTAAATAGCAAGCTAAATGTTGACTACAAGGGGGAATACTAAATCAGGCTCTCTACAACGTCAGTAGAAAATTAATTAATTAATTTGCAAGTTTCCCATATATACCTTTTTGCAACTCAAATAGGATCTAAGTGCCTATGAAGATACTATTTGGGATACAATAATAAAATAATAATAAAAATCTGTTTATGGTTCCCATAGCAATTGGTGAGATGTGGAGTTGTTTTCCTAATTACAATTTTCCATGGAACTCCGTTGATGCCACTCTGGTAGATTTTTTAAGATGCATTTTTAATGAAATATATCTAGCCAAGGTTTATAAATTGTATGCTATATACATACAGTACATACATATATACATATTACATAATATTCTAATTATTAGAAAAATAGAAGGGCTTTGGAAGGACAGTAGATAATGTATAATGTATACATGAGCCAAGACATAATGGGGGGGGGGGGGGGAA